AAAGGGCAAAACTTGTGAATTTTCTGATTAAAATTGGAAATATCGTGCTGAGATTGACAAGAGTCTGTGGTTTACCCAACCTTCAAACTTTGGCGGAGAATATGTGCTGCAAAAAGCCGACTAGAACAAACGTGACTGGAAAATTATCACTTTCCCGTGAAGTGCTATCTTTGCTTGTTGTGAACAGCAGGACTGGCCGCTAGCAGTGTGAGCCTGGCGTTGAGATAATTTTTCTGCGAGAGCGTAAATGCTTCTTAGTCTTAAAGAGCCGCAAAACTTGTAATATGATTTCGAAAAATTGCACTTTCTTCAAATGAATTATTTAAAGGAAGTGTAAATTTGACTGAATTTCGTGAAATTTAAACCGAACAGCAACTGAATATTGGGTTACACAATTGTGTCGGCATTCCTTTTCAATTAAATACTCGGCTGAGGAACGCAGCACGCCTGCCATTTTCGCGGCACTAGAGATTGACAGCTCTAAAAAATAAAAAAAAATAAAAAAAAACCAATGGCAATACGGAGAAATGCTTAGCTACTTAGAGAGAGTAATGTTTTGATGCAATAACACAGCATCAGAGATCACCTTTTTATAACGGACTACCTAGACTAAATGGAGTTGAACAATTTTGCTGTTTACTGGCTTCCTTCGCCCTAAAAGGGGAAAAATCAAATAGCCAATAGTTTAATCGAGTTCAGAATTTAACACAATTGCTATCGATATATTATGTATTTGTGTTTCCTGAATAACAGTGCATGTACAAGTTTTTTCCCGGAAGGCATCGGCGAAAATTTGGAGCAAACTTAATGCAGACTCTGTTGGCGGTTAACTGTCAAGCAATGAGGCCAACAAATTATTCCTTCAAAGTAGCTCAATGATTGCGAAGTTCAGTTTCCACAGAATTTCTGTTTAACTTAAGCTTTCAGCTGCTTATTTTATTTAATCACTTTCACCAGAGTGATACTGTATTTTATAATACAGTATCAACGTTGATACTGTATTTTATAATACAGTATCAACGCGGTGAGTAAGGCTGGCCAGTTTACTTGGTTATTCGTTTTCAAAACATTGGAAGCCCTGCCAAGATTTTTCAGGATCGTAAAGAAAGTAAGTAAATTGGACTTTTCGGCCGTTTAAAAACAAATTTGATAGATTCGAATAGCCACCCTCATAATAAAACCATTTAATAGTCCCATTTTGGAACGAATATCATGTCTGAATTGATTTTTTTTTATGGTAAAAGACGAGGCCATGTACCTCTATTTCTTGGTAATTGCAGCATTTTGTTCTGATTTTAGTTAGCTCTAAATAGTATACTAACACAACTGCGAACTGACAACAGGGTAGCGCCTAATCCTCTTTGAAACACCGAGAGGTAAATAACAATAATTTCTTGTCCGATATCATGCTAATTTTTGCTATATCATCTCATAGAACCGAACAACTGAGAAAATAGCGTCATGTCGAGCGTCATGTCGAGCCAAATGCTATAGCATGTAGAATCCGTGACCAGTGATAAAAGTGAGTGTGTTCGATTTTCTTGCCATCAGAAGATTCGAAAATGATTATGGAATGTAGTTGATGCCGCATTCGAATGAGATCTTCTGGCAATAAATGGAACCCTCTTCTAAAATTCATTCGAGTTTGCTTTCGATGTAATGTCCATCATCATTCGGGTCTTTATAAGAGAGAATAAAAATTGAAAACATTATTGAGATCAATCGCGAATGGCCCAAAAGATTGATATCAGGTTTACACTGGAGAAGAAGTTCGTGTGAAGCTCGAACTCGGTCGAGTGCGGTATTACTTCCTATCCAAAAGGAGGAGCGCGGGCTCATTTCAAGAACGGCGGGTGATAACTGGGTCCAACGTCCGTGATCGAAGGATCATCGTTCGTGATGTCTTGATTGTCTGAGTGTGATTATTTTGAAGTCTCCAGCGCGTGAATATTTTTTAAGAGACGATATGAACTAACCAAACAGGAGTATTGAAAAAACAAAGCTTAACAATTGAAAGTTTCAAAAGTAGTTTACAGTACAAGAATCACAAAGTGAAAACATCCCTATGAATAAGATTTTATAATTGCTAAAGTTTAATGTACTATAGTCCAAGCCCCTGGTATTAAGGGACTGTAAGGACATGCGCAGTTGACGTTACAAATGGCAAACACATGGTTCGTGACGAGGTTGGGTTGAGGTTCAAATATTACAGTTGGTTGAATTTGTATATCAGAAGAGGAGATTCTGGCAAGTAGTACAGGAAAATCGTAGATTTCTCTACTTCAATCGCAGGTAACTCAATGCGTACACATAGCCATCAAGTCTTCAACTACCCAAGAAAGGACGTTTTCATGTCCATTTTAGAGTGAAATCGTCTACTTTGTCAACTTGCTAATAAATCATATAAACCCAGCAAATGCTAGAATGAAAAGAAGTTGTAGTCTAAATATATCGATTTATTTTAATTTTTTTTAACTCTGTTGATTTTCCGTTTCGTGGCAATCTCTTATCTAGAATTAAATTTGAAAATGAAGTAGCTACAGTGCATGTAAAATAAATATTGAAAAGAGTATTAGGATATAAAGCAATCGTCCACCCTCAGTATTTGATGATATTCTTACACCAAGAAGAAATTTGAATTTACAATTTTTATTTCTTTTTTAAGCAGTTATCAAGTTATTTTGGTATAGAGGTTTATCAGTGAGTAGATCATCATAGACTTTTATCCGAGAATATTGTGACTCGTTTCGGATGTGACAGCGAAGCTTAATTTCAACGATGTCTTTGCAAGATGAAGGCTGAGAAAATTGATTAATTTCCCGGGTATGCACTAAGCAAGAAGATTTGAATGTTTGGGGCGAGAAATATATCATATAATATTATGTTGTTTTCCTCTGCACTCGATATTTCATTAAGTAGCCCCAAAATTTTGCATCAATTTTTGGTTTTCTTGTTATTTTGAGTTGCCTATAAAAAGCTTTTATCAGTGAACAAGAAAAAAAAATTGATCTGCTTAGGGCAAAAGTCATTACGCATTCTTTATGTTACGTATGTGGTGGTTGAAGACAGGAAACCTAGAATCTGCGAAAACGGTCCACAGACACAGTCCAAAAGGATTTTTGTTAATTTGTTTAATCAGAATTAAAGAAGGAGTGGGTGGTAGAACTTTAATGCAAAGCGCGTGAACAAGTCTAAGAGGCCAGATTTAAGTTCTTCAGCCATCATATAGAGCTGAACAATGTTGCTGCAGGTGAAAAGGAAACCATTTACCAAGTGAAACTTCATTTCCTGTAGTATGCAAATATTGAGAGTTAAGCAAAGAGTGGAGCGCCCTTAATACAAGTCTAAATAACAGCTTAAGTGTTATGCCGGAACGAGTCGCTGAGAAAAACTCCGCATTTGACGACTTTGTGACTGCCTCTTTTTCAAAACAGTTTTCTGATGTTATCATAACAACCTCCAAGGATTTAGAGGATGCAACATACTGTTCATAATGTCGCATTACCAATGTGTATGTACCGAAGCTGCGTGCATTAGCCATGGACATTACGCACGTTAATTCAGCCAAACCGAATATAGCTTAGCATTAATTTTTAGTTGAGCATTTCATTAATCATAAGAGACCTATAGATTTGTGCATAAACAATCAAAAAGAATTTCGCAAACTGTGCCCTTTGTTTCGAATTTTAAAAGAAATAATTCGAGCGACTCTTTGGAGTGTTATCTGCGTCTTATGGAAGAGAAAAACTCTGTTTAACATTTGCAATTTTTGTCGCAAATCCCGCAGTGCAATAATCAAGAGACCTTTTTTTACTTAAAAAAAAAAACGTTGAAACGACCACGTTGTTGGTTCATCTAACAAAATAGACAAGGAGTTTCTGATTTGTGTAGTTACTACTTCCGAGTTCGACATTTGCAAGCCTCTCATTCTTTGCCAAAAATTTCCAAAACGAAGATAATTTCGATGGTTTGGTAATTTTTTTGGCGAAGTATTAACCTAAATTCTAAACTAAGCGTCGAAATCGTAGAGTTAAAAGATAACTTCTACGCGTAAAGAATTTTAATGGCTGAGCTTCACCCGTTTAGAAATCTTCCTTAAAAAAAGAGAGCCATACTTTCATGTGGCCGTTAGAGTTTTCCTTAAAAAAAGAAGCACTTCAGTCATGCTAATAGAGCGCTATTAGCATAACAAATGTCCTGCATGCTACAATTATCTTGATGAATGATTAAAAGAGACCGCTACTTTTCATCATATTGCATCTTTTTATATCATCTATTTTAGCTTCTCAGACCTGGGCCAATCAAACTACTACAAAATGGTATATTATATCATTATCAACCCATTATTCTCTTTCGTTATCTTACAGCTGACATACGAATAAGCCTAAATTCACTGATAACAACAAAAAAAAAAACATATATCGTGACACGCACAGTACCTGTATTGGCTTATTTTCTCTTATTCAATTGTTTGACGTAAAAGAACCACGGAAATAGAAAAGAAAGGTCGTCCCATAAAAATTAATTTATACTTAATTTTGAGAAAATAGGAAGTTATAGCCCGGTAAATATTAACGGTACTTTTCTCATGAATAGTAATTCTATTTGTGGAAAATCTCTCAGACATCACTTGATGAATAGAAAAAATGCTGAGATTCCCATTATAACTGTCAAGCAGTCAAACGAGCACATTTTCCCGATGACGAACTTTTATCAAAGTGCTATGAATAAAGATACTGGTTTTCAACAAGAAGTTTCTATTCTATTCTCATGCAATCTTCTCTTTTCTTCAACTTTTTCTTTGTCAGAGGACTCCAGAAGGAAAAGAGACGTAATTTGGAGAAATGAAATTAGATGATAATGACTGCTTATCTGTTTTTGTGTGTTTGTCAGATGTTTTCAGCTGGTTAATCTGAAAAACATAATAATGAGAGAAAAAGAAAACAGATTTCTATATTTACATAACATGTCCCAACTTTGGAAAATCATTCCATTTATTTCCTTGATCATGAAGAACGTAATTGAGGTCGACTGCTCTGCCGATCAAAGCCAGACGTGAGAGATTCTAGCCAAGAAACCAATTGTAAGAAATGTCTTTGGATGAGCATACCACATGTGTGGGATAGAAACTCTTCAAATATTTTTTGGGTAATTTTCTGTATTATTGTTGTTTTTGATTTCAGATCTTGACGCGGTAGTCACTCATCTGTGAAATTACAACCACACAGATAAACTTCAAGGTAACGGTAAATAAAATTTTATCACCTGTTCCTCTTCTGTCGCTGTAAGCAAGCTTTTTCACGGAACCGAAGATAAAACAAATGCAAACTCCTCATCCTTTCAACTGAATATCAATGAGTTCTTGTAGTCTATATCTCCACAGGTTAAACGAACTGAAAGTTTATGATACATAATCATGGTGAAGAACGAACTAAAGTTAGTGAAATAGAAATGAGATTAAAATATGCCTAAATTCGTTTTTGTTTCCTGAAAATTATATACCCGAGGATGAGTTAACACTATTCTTAGATGCAGTCAAGGAACAAAGTAAACTTCAGGAATATAGGTAAATTTCAGAAAAGCCTTTACTTCTTTACTTTAGGTAATTCTGTGGTTTCCAAGTAGCTGTTGAAACTGAATGGCCAACAGGATCAGCAACACTACCCTTAACACCTCTGGCCAAGAGGACCTGATGCTTGTTCCTCTCTCTCATTGTATACCATGGCTCGTTGTTTTTATCACTGAATGTCTGGCCATAGTTATCCTTAATATCATTGCTGTTATCGTATTCATGAAGCAGCGAAAGCTACAGCGCCAGAGTACATATTTAATTATCCATCTGGCGATCGTCGATTTGTTAGTTGGCGCAATCAGTGGGCCTCTACGAATCGAACTTAAAATGGCTACATTTTGCAATCTATGGAGGAACAATTGGATGGTTCAATGGTCAATTCGCGTGAAAATCACACTCGGCATCTTTCCGATTGTTTCCCTGTTGAGCCTTGCGGTTATTTCTTTAGAACGACTACGTGCAACGTTTTGTCCAGTCAGGCATCGTCAAACTAAAAAATGGGTTTATATCATAATTGTAACTATCATTTGGTTATTAACCACAGGTATACTGGCGACGGAACAAATCTTCATTCCCGATCCCTTGATTCCGGAAATTGCTTACTTGTCATATTTCTTTATGTCTCTCTTTGTTATTCTAGTTTCTTATCTCTGTTTATATGTCAAAGTTCGTTGCGGTCGTCATCCACAACACCATGGTGCCGCCGGACAGAGGGAGAGGAGACTAACCAATACCTTGTTTGTTGTTACTCTTGGATCTCTGGTAACTTGGCTTCCTCTCATAATACACCAAAGCCTAGTAATTGCTTCATACACCGGGGAATCAAGTCAGTTTCCTCTATCCAAGATAGCGCGTTTTCATGTTCATATTTCAGTGCAAATCATCTACTTTGTCAACTCTTTGATTAATCCCATAGTCTACGCCCTGCGGTTGCCTGAATTAAGAGCTGGCATATCACAAATATTTAGATTTAATCGAAAAGGTTCAAATTTCCTTAATTTACCCCTTCGAAATCCCCTATCTAGAAAAGAAACAGAAGAAACAGCAGCATAGATTCCCTATTTAACAAGAAAAAAGTAAAAAATATCATTCGTAGAACAAAATAACAAACACAACAATAGCATTTGGCTTGAGTCTTTATCAACACGTAAATATGTAGATATACTTTTACTTTAATAGGGGTTCCAGATTTGTTTCTTTTGATATATTTTCTTCGTTATTTGCTTACGGATGTATAAATGATAATTAACTATATGCCTACTTCTATGGGTCGCAAAATTTATATATATTACTGGGTTTTTTTTTTTTTAAAATCCTTTTGTAACTGACGAAGATGTGAGATAAGTCGAAACATAATTTGTACATTGTTAAGAATCGAGATCTCATCAACAATGTAAAAGGAACGATCCACATGTTGTTACAGAATTTAGGATACAGTTACTATATATGTTATTTACTGTAACGTTATCATAGTTTGGTAAGTCAAAGAAGCGTTTAGAATTAACATATATAGTTTACCAATGAATTCATATTAAAAAGTCCATAGAACTTTGGTAAATAGACTGAGTATTCGTTGCTGTTGGGAGATGGCCTTGAACTAAAATTATTCTTGTCTAGAATACCTCCTAAATTTAACAACTGGTAAACACCACAGCGTGCACTATTAAGTTACGGATGCACGTGAGAGGTTGCTAAGCACCAAAGAAGCGTAAGACTCGCGCGAGGCGATAGCCGAGAGCGACTCTAACTTCTTGGATGTTTAGCAAACCTCCCAAGTGCATCCATAACTCAATAGTGTACGCTGTGGGGTTTACCGTTTGTTTTATAACAAAAGAGTTTTGTTCTATCTAACAAATCTTATGAGACCAGGGAAAATCAGCATGCGGAAACTAGTCTTTTCATTCGCAAATGGGCAAATGGTGGACACTGAATTGAGCAATCAGAACGTGCGTTTTGCTTTGGTTATGTTATAATTTTCCTTGTTGTTCACCCCAGCTGGCTCGATCTTTTTTCATCATTCTTTATTCTTTCATTAGCAGATTTGGATGAACTGATGTCGTGATATGAGATAGTGGTTTCTGATTAAGAATTTAATTATACCGAGGATAAAGAACAGCGTTTTTTAAACAAGATTCGGTTTCATGGCGTGCACTTGTAATAGAAATTAACAGAAATAAAAAGTTATGCAATTAATCTTTTACAAACAAGATATAGCTCAGTTATTCAAACTAGATACCTTTTCCTCCCGAATATTGATTCGCGAAGATATATTTCCTTCTATAGCTTATCAGACCGACTAAAAAATCTACAAGAGTGAAGAGCAGTCATTCAAACGTTTCTTTTACATATTCAGTCCAAAAGAGGCACAAAAATGTTTTGCCTAAAATAATTCTCAAAAAATTGATGACCGGCACCATCAAATCGGAATTTGATGATATCCAGCCAAATTAAAGAGTCACTTTAAATTTTTACGTTTGATTATTTGAAAAGTCGAGATTCAAGTGTCGACTTTAATGCCTACTCCGCTGAACATCTGCTTACTTTCGTCATGATTTTCCTAATTAAAATTTAAAATATAACACGAGGTAACAATGATGTGTCCTGATCGATGATTAATCGGGAAACTTCGACAACGATCAGATTCTACCAGAAAGCAGAAAATACACGATTTCATTGGGGCTTACGATGACTTACCAGATACCTTTTGAAGGTTCTCTTTATCGAGGCTCTGAAACAAAATATGGTAAATTCAAACAAAATCATAACCAAAGTCTCATGGCAACAAATACAAAGTTGCACTTTCTTAAAGATGCATTGGATTGTTCATTCAGTTGTGTTGGGAATCCCAAGTGCTCCTCATATAATATAGCCAAATCTACAGACTCAAATGGTATCTATACATGTGAAGTTCTGGCCACAGACATGCACAGAGCTAAAGATAGACTTCCAGCCAACTCTAGCTTCCATCATTTTAGCCCCATGGTGAGTGCTTAATGAATCAGGTTTCGCTCAGTTCAGTCTAGTGTAGCCGTTCGTGCTCTTCGTGTTGGCTTGATAAAACAGTTATACGTTTTTAATTTTATGGGTTTTAATGGCGCCATCAAGCAGCCTGACTCCCGACGTAGTCTGAGTAATAGAGAGCCAGGACTCTTGGAAGGAGGGGTGCTTCAGTATATAAGCCGTATAAGCATATGCCGCCTTAGATGGTTAGGGTTTGATGGGTTTTGATCTGAAATGAGTATATATTTGAAACCAGATGCGCCAGCAGGTTGTCCTGCGGTGTTTGTTTAGTTTTATGCGCGCGCTCATACGAGTGACGCCTGACTGTTTTCTCTCCATTGTGTATCTTCCATCTTGTTTCGCCGTGTATAAATAAAGCGTATTCGTTGTGTAGTTCGCGTTACTTACTGGCGTGGTGGCAGCGGTTCAAAAACCCACCTACACTTTCAACACTAAGTCATCGAACTACTGGCAAAGGTCCAACAACGAGCCGGCCTTCGCTACGACCGGAAAAAGAGCTAAGTACAGTGTTCTCCTTCGAGATAATCATACATAGCCTGCAAGAATGGCAACTACACGTGCACCAAAGCAATGGTCTCTCACCAAATCAGAAACAATTACTTCATTTGAAGCCTGGCGACAGAATCTTCAATATATCCTGTCCCTCGACGCTAATTTTGCTTCCTTCTTAAGCGATGGTGTCTCTTGGCAAAAGAAAACTTCTGCAAACCCCACAAGAGGTCTACAAAACGACGGCGAAAATGTTCCTCTAGCACGACGACGAACAGCATACCAAAAGGCTGCCCATCTCGACCTGATGCTAGGCCAAATAGCCAACTATTGTCCTGTTATATCAAGAAACTCATAGC